CGAAGTGATTTTTAATTTGGACATTTGTAATGGACAAGAAGCAATAAACTTAAAAACCCTCTATTGTGTCTTGGCTTGTTAATTACTTAATTAATGGTTTGCTTTAAAAATATCCTTTCTTTGTTTAGTTGTTGTTCTTGTCCTTGTTGTCATAGTGGTTGTGTGTTTTACTCCTTTTATTAAAATTTCATTTGTTTTTTTTAATTAACCAGATTCTATGTATCATGTAATTCATTTCTTTATTTAATTATTGATCCATATTTGTATGTTTCTGAATATTTATTTCATTGAATTATTATTATGACAAAGTCTATGTCTAGAGGGAACAAAGCCATGTGCATGTTGATGTTTTTTTTTTCCTTTCCTACCTAATAGTTTAACTGTTTTTGCTCATTTAGTACATTGCCATAATAATCAAATAATTTGTCTGTCTGCTACATGTAGGGATTGAATGAATGAATGGCCTTTAATGTGCTGGAATTGTATAATTGTTTGCTGTATGTTAGTACTTTAATATTCATGGGATCACTACATTATTAATCATATCTTGCTGCTGCTGCTACTACTACTACTAATAACCAGGCAATGATATTTGATACTTTCCATTTGAGAATTTGACCAAGAAATTAAATTGAATTGTATTTTACTACTCCATTATAAAGTAATTAATGTTACTCTGTTTTGTATTTAACTAGTATTCGGTTTGAAGGTGAGCCTGGGACCAATGATAAAGTTGTTTCTGTATAACTTATAAGTAACGAGTTCGAGTTGTGAAACCAGCTACTAATGCTTACATTAGGATAGGCTTACTACATCACATCCCTTCGAGTGCGACCCTTCCCTAAATCTTGCGTGAACGCGAAATGACTTATGTATCGGGCTACTCTTTTATCTATTGAAGAAGAAAGAAAAAGGACACCCAAATTTTTTTTCATTCCTTAAGTTCAAAATCGAGATTACTTGTTAAGAGCATAAAATCCTATTCCATCCACCACATTCCTCAAGGAGAGTAATTATTGTTAGTCAGTGGGATTTAAGCTTTCTATTTCAAGAATTAACAGCATTTATAGAAGAGTTCAAGAATTTAATGCATTATTCCTTCATCTATCTTCAATCCCCATTCATTACCCCCACCAAAAGGACACCCCACCCCCCTCACCCCATGTTCAGCCATCCCATTATTACTTTGTTGTAAATATGTAAGGACTCGTTTGATAAGAGAAATAAGAGATAAATAATCTCGCGATTAAATTTGAGATGAATTTATTCTATATTTGATTGAGATATAATCGAGATATAACTAATCCGGAGATTAATTATTCTGGAATTGTAATGTTATTTTATTCCTATGGGAGGATAGATAATAATTTCGGGATAATTAATCCCGAAATAATTAATCCTGGGATAACTTGCTTCCCAACCAAACGACCCCTAGGTACTCCCCGGTCCACTTTAATTGATTTTTTTTTTGCGGTCTACAATATTTAATTTTTTCAGATATTAAGAAGGAATTAACTTCTTTTTGCTTAAGTTAGCGTTGGAGTAAAGAGCCTATGAGTACTTGTTGTATTTCTAATAAACAAATTAAGGTTAATGTGATTAATTTTATTGTTAATTAATGCTAAAAAGTGACTTTCTTAATATGTGTGAAACAACCAAAATAATAATTAAAGTGGACTGGAGGAAATATATATTTTTTCTTTGGATAAGACATTGTGGAAGAGCTATATGCTTAGTACTTTCTCCGAACCCCATTAGTAAGATTTTACTGAGTTGTTGTTATTGTTTCTTATTATTTAATTCAGTACTAATACTTTTATTAATATTCATAGGATCACTACATTATTACTCCCTACAGTCCCACATTTTTGTTAATATATATATANATATTTGATAGTTTGCAAAAAGAAGAAACATTTATTATTTCTTTTCAATATGCTCTTACATCTTATTAAATGATATATTTAAGAGACTTTAGATAAATATATTATGATTAACATTATTAATGTCTTTGTTAGAGATGTACACAAAACCTTTAGAATTGCAGATTATAAGAACCGTACTAGTAATAGTTTAATAGTATCATATTATTATGTTTCACTATTACTCCTTCCGTTCAATTTTATTTGGCACGTTTTGACTTTTCACATCCTCAAAAAATAATAAATAAAGTGCATAATTTACCATGATATCCATATTAATTGATGCATATTTTATTGGATTTGAAAAAATGATTTGAAATGAGTAATAAATATTGTGAATATAATAGGGAAAAAAATTTGACTTCTCTTGATATGCATAAAGTGACAAGTAAAAATGAAAATCTATTTTTAGTATACATGTCAAGTAAAAGTAAACGCACATAGCACTAATAAAAAGGTCAATGGCAATTGAAGCTTTCCAATTTAAGGATTTGACCGATAAAATTCAGTGACAGTTTACTGTTCCTTAGTGAGTAAGTATTGTCAGTCAAAGAAAATTGAATATCTGTAAGAAATTAATTAACAGCAGCTATTTAGAAGATTTTAAGAATTTATTGCACTGTCTCCTCTTCTCTCTTTAAACCCCTTCCAAGGACACCCCCCATAAAAGCATAAGCGAGCTAGGATTCTGAGTTTATAGATTATTTGAACTCTAAACAAGAAAGCTTACTGAATTTCGAATAAATTATTTGTATATATTAAATAGATTTTTAACACAAATATAAAATTTGAACTAAAAATACTTAGTTCTACCGAGCCGTAAGCAGAATTATAGCTCCCTTGCCAAAAAGAATAGAAAACTCACACCCATTGGCGGAGCCACATGCACCGACACCCCTTTACCGGAAAATTACATTATATAGCTTGGTAATTTTTTTAAAATATGTATATATACTATATAATGACAATCCTTGACTTTTTGATAAGTTTATTTTTTTATATTTTGACTCTCCTTAATGAAAATCATGTGTCTGTCACCGGTGACATCCGCCTTCCATAGTATTTATTTATTCAATTTGGGGCTTTATGGCAATACAGTATTTTTTTCTTGGATCAGACAATGGGGAGAGCTATTGTGTCTGGTGCTAAAAATAAAAAATAAAAAGGTTTTTTTTTTCTAGACAAGTTGAGAAAATTGGGGAAGAGAAGCAACCTAGGATCGCTTACACATGCAGATCCTTATTATCAGGAGAAAGTGGATATTTTATTTTTGATTTCATATATATATATATATATATATATATATATATAAAATTTTTGGAGAAAAATATATTTTTTTTCGTAGCCTAAAACTAGAAGATTACCTTTTTGCTTTTCTTGGACAATGAATAGGGAGGGGCAGAGGCAGAGTGCGGGATGCAGGTTTGGCCGAACCCAGTAGTTTTTGTTCAAATTATGTATTTGTTTTAAAAAATCTATTGAATATGTACAACTTATTAGTTTATAAACCAATAATTTAAAAATATTACAATCTCGATCCCATAAAGTTCAAATTTTAGCTTCGCCTCTGTGAATAGATCACTACTTTTTTTTCTTTCTCAATGTGGTTTATAAAGTACCAACAATATATTTCAATTGCTCATATCTTGTATTCTTGTCATAGCAGAGGTAGTAAAAAAGCTCAGTTGATTAAGAGGTCTCTGCCTTTCTTATCCATGTTTCCATAAAGGGATTATCCTTCGGCCAAAATATAACATTGGTTAATCGTTAGTAAAAAAAAATATGAAACATTCTCTCTCTCTCTCTCTCTCTCTCTCTCTCTCTGGGTGGTGATCTTGTGATGGGTATCAAGTTCGATCCCAACTCAAAACATTAACAACAAAAACATCATATCCAGTGTTCTGGGGAGGGTAGTGTACGCAAACCCTACCTCTACCTCGTGAAGGTAGAGAGGTTGTTTCCGATAGACTCTCGACTCAAGGAATGCATAATCATAGCAGTTTTGGAAAAGAAATACAGTAATGAAGAAGCCATGGAAAGAGAAGCAGTAACCACAGCCAGAAAAAAAAATAAGATAACCAAAGCAAAGACAACAGGTAGTAATAGAAATCTAAGAATAAGAAACACGAGAATAACACTAGTACTACAGGTATAAAGAAGTCCTTACCGATTAAAAAACATATACTGATAAAAAAAGTATGTCCCCAAGTCTAACAGTTTTCACGAAGTCTACTATATATATTCATTCTTTTTTTTCAAACGGTTAAGTTGTCTCCATGTGACCTATAGGTCACGGGTTAGAGCCGTGAAATCAGCCATTGTTGCTTGAATCAGGGTAGGTTGCCTACATTACAACCCCTGAGGTGCGGCCCTTCCCCGGACCCTGCATGAACGCGGGATTCTTTGTGCACCGGGCTGCCCTTTTTTTTCAGTCAGCTCTATCTAGGGCCACATTCTCTGCTAAGACAATATCTTCCTAACTTTTCCATGCGACTTCGCCAGCTCTTTGCTTAATCTTAAACATTTGGTTACTTAGTATACCTAAACTCACAGTAAATCACAGTACTAGCATGTTCAAAGAATAGCCCTCTTATCCCTAGTTTCTTTTTGGTGCACCAATGAAGTTCCAGTGTGTAGAAAAGCTTGGTTGTTATTCATAGAGAATCGCATTATGTTGTAGATTCTCTACCTTTTAGTATACTACTTGTATACAGGAATTTTTTTTTTTTGATAAGGTAAAACATATTGATGAAACCAGCAGAAACTGGGAAATATTCATTTAAAAGGTACAGATATGTGCATCACAGAGTGTAATGAACAGATAAAGTTCAACATAGCTTCGGGCTCTAACAAGTTTGGGCCAGCCATGTTGCACCAAAAACTAAACAAGAATATACATTTGGGTTTAAGCTTAAGTACAGTGTCATTCTTGTCTGCAAAAATCCTAGCATTTCTTTCTTTCCAAATGATCCAGCATATAGCAGCAGGAAGCGAGGTTTTAGGGAATTTTCCCCACTGCTAATAGAATCGTTTACCTTACAAAAAAAAGGAGTTTATATGGAAAAATAAAAGGAAATCTTAGCTGTCTGGACAGCTCACATCAAAATAATCCATGAAAGAGGAAACATTACAACTAAAGTTGCTATACAGAATACTTACTTTAGCATAATCGTATGCTTGCCAGCAAAATGGCTCCTCCAAATCAACTGCTTGAAGATCCTTATTCATTTTCTCCATTAAAAAGTCTTCCACATTCGCCATATTATTCGTCGACTCTGTTTCGGCATCACTCTCTTCATCTTCCATATTCCCAAGTACTGCCCCTAAGGAAGGCAATCTTTGAGGTTGCCATGGAGAAAACTTTACTGTCCCTGGAAATGTTGCCTCAACACTCTTTCCAGATACTCCTCGACCGGTTGTTATAATTTTCCATTCAACAAAGTGTTCAGCAACTGAAACTGTTCCAATAGAAGGTGTCCCTTCAAAAGAAAGCACCCTTCTCCTAGGGAAAGGTATTGTCACTGTGCAGAAATCCATCGACAGAGGAGCTCTATAACCTTCCATGAGCCGTAACCTAAACAAAAAAGCACCTTCATTTTCTGAAACCATTGAAAGCTGATAAAAACCCTTGATCGGAGGCCGCATACCACAAAGTGCCTGATAACGCATCAATACGAAATTTCCTAATGGTGGTGAGAACATAAGTGTTTGCTTCTCGTTACCATGCTCTGGAACTTGAGCACAGGGGTGGAAGGATAATAGCTCAACACNTATATATAGTTTTCTCCAATCTTTATATAATTTTACCTATTTAAAAATATTTATTGTAATTATATTTTTTATGAAATATTAAAAATTAAATATCCATGGGGCTTGCGTCCCGTGTCTCGGGTCTTACGCCGCCCCGTGTGTAAAACACCTCGCCTTAAGCCCACGCCTTTAAAAACACTGTTGGCTATATGGATTTTATATATTTATTTAATAATTGTATTAGACTCATTTCATTCTAACAACTTTTCCTAAACAGGTATTTGCTGGGAAATGAGGTATAACAAGAATCAGTTTGAAGCTTTTATACTGTGTCCTCTGTCACTAGATTGACAAAAGATAATTATAGATGCCCTTAACATCAAGGGACTAAAGTGCAATTTTCCTGTTAATTTTGATTATCTTATGGACTTCGTTTGGTAGTTTCAAGTTTCAACTTTCAAGCCAAAATTACTAGTTTAGATGAAAGATATTGTTTGGGCTTTGTGTTCCACAATCAGATTAGGCTGGATCCATCACTTACACTGTCAAGGCTATCGTGGTGAGCTAAATTAGGTCTAATGAAGTGATTTAGGGAAAATTATACAGTATAATTAATTTATAAAATAATAACTGATAAAATATATAAAAATTATATATTTTTTGTATATATATATACATTCTGTATGTTATATACAAATATTATACAATTTTATACACTTTTTCGACTACCATATGTAATTAGGTTTTGGCGCGGGCTAAAAGTGATAACACCCCGATAGTGGGTCTGGATTTAATGGGGTAGTTGGATGATACTTATATGTAATTTTGTATAAATATTATACATATATATATACACACACACAGTTATACAATGTATTAAATATTTTATATACACATATATAGAGTTGTAAATATATACGATAATTTGTATTATAGTTTTATATAAAAGCTATATGTATATTATTATGCTATGTTTAAAAGTTGTATATACATTGTATCCTAAGTTTCGCAATGTACTTTGTATATATTGAGTGTATTTCGAACGTGTTTGTGTATCTAAAGCATATATTGAATTTCTTTATACATGATTATATAGTGTATATATATACTACACAATATGTATATATACTATATAATAGTTATATATAGCATATTGTGCAAGTGTATTTTTGTATAAAAATTATATATAAACTGTTATATGTGAAGATGTATATTTATAGTTAAAAGTTTTATACACAGTATCTTCCGAGTTTGATAAAAAAGTGTCTATACACATTATATTAGTGTATAATATGTATAGTACGTGTATAATATATACATCACCTTATTCCTCTTCTTCTTATATCATGAATATTTTTGCTTATGCAATATTATAATTTTTCTAGATTGGATCAGTAAAAATTTAATTCTTTTTTTGTAAAAGATAAAAAGGAGATTGTTATTTGTGTATAATATGAAGAAGTTTGGTGATTGTGGAGAAGACAGTTGGGTTTCTTCTTCTTTTTGTAATAAATATGTTGTATGAATTCTCAGTCTTTCACTTTTTTCTCTTTTAGTTAATTCTTAAAAGTTGTATAAAGTTGTAATTTTGTATAAAAATTATATATACACTCATATAAAGTTGTATATAGATGGTACTTGTATATTAATTTATATATAAGTTGTAAATATACTGTTATACAATGTTAAAACTATATATGCGATGTATACTAAGTTTGACAGTGTGTCATTTGTGTATATTGAGTGTATCCGAGTGTGTTTGTGTATTTGAAGTATATCTTGTATACATTGTGAAATGTACATCCCTCTCTCTCTCTCTCTCTCACACACACACACAATCTCGTTATCTGTGTGTATTTTTTCTTCTTGAGTTGAGTTTTTAAGTAAGTTTTTTTCTTTTAATTTTTTTTTGAATTCACTAGCTTTTTGGACTTTTGACCGAATTGTTCCGTTTGTGTAATTGAAATTTTTTTTGGCTGAAATAATTTTATACTTTACATTGCTTTGGACTGAAGATATATTTTTTATTACTGTAAATGAGATTTCTAAGATACAAAATCACTTGAAATACTTGACATGAGTTTAGAATGCGACTACTGGATTTTTATTTCACTGGCTAGCTATTATAATTAGTTTTTGGCTTCAAATTGCATAATAGATTTATGGGCTAAAACTTGTCAAAAGTTTTAGCCGAGGGGCTAAAAGTGAAATTGCCTCTATAACTTTCCCTTTATTTAAGCAGGGCTTCCTTGCTCAATTGTCCAAGAATAAAATTGCAGCACATTTAGTAAAAATAGCACGAGCTAGCCAGTTTTCGAACTGGTAATTGATAAATAGCCAGCGTTTGCAAAGTCATTAAAAAATAGCCACTATTTTGCTACAATACAAAAAGTTCCAGCATAATATACTGGAGATTGGTGCACCTGTGTATGAACTTCCAACATATTATGCTGGAACTCCAGCACACGAAAAGTTCCAGTGTAATATACTAGAGATTGGAGCACTTGTGTACGAACTTCTAGCATATTATGCTGGAACTCTAGCACACGAAAAGTTTCAGCATAATATACTAGAGATTGGAGCACTTGTGTACGAACTTCCATCATATTATGCTGGACCAGTATATTATAATGGTAATCCAGTACATTATGATGGAGTTCCAATATATTTATATTAGAACTATATCATAATATACTGGAGTTCCAGCATAGTATACTGGAATTCCAATATATTATGCTGAAAGTTCACATGTAAAAAATTCAAACCCCAGTATATTATGTTGGAATATTTTTCGAATTTTAAACAGTGTTTTCGTTCAGATTTATCTTTACATGAAAAATGGCTAACTTTCGATTACTTTTGAAATTATGGCTATTTTTCAATTACCACCTGTATATCTGGCTATTTTTGAATTTCACCCCACATGTATGGTAAAAATTGTATGGTTTAGCCAATTTTCAGTTGTTTTTGAAAAATAGTCGGTGGTTAAAATTCGTTAGAAAAGTAGTCACTTTTAATGCGGAAATACCATGACAGTCGTAGATTTCGAACTTAAGCAAGTGAAAAGATCTAGGATACTGTCCTGATTTTTGAAATCCATGATAGTGTCATGAATTTCGAACTTAAAAAAAAAGAAGTAAAATTCCATGATAATATGGTGAATTTCCTCTAGGATGCTTTTATGGAGTTTCATTTTTTTTTTAGTTCAAAACTATGGCACTACCATGAATTCCAAAAATTGAGTATTCTTCAAAATATTTTTGAACATATGACTATTTTTTAGTTACAAGTCTAAAAAATGATTATTTTTGAACTTTATCCGCTACTGTATATTTACAAACTCCGGGATGTTACCTGTATATGTGCCACTATTTGAAAGATCAACTAGTTTGTGTACACTGTTTGAGTAAAGTTTAAATGACTTTAAACACCCATCTAATGTAGAAGAATTGGTGTGGGATATCTACTTTTTAACATGATATTTAGTTTTTATTCAGTATTTTTAATGCTGAGCATAAATAGCCACTACTCTATTAAAATTAATACGAAAAGACGTTGTTACCCTTTCTTCATGAGTGTTGTGTAAATATTAAGGACATAGCGTCCTTAACATTTACACTGCACACATGAAGTTAAGGACATCATGCCCTTAATATTTTACACAACACTCATAAAGTTAAGAATACTATGTCCTTAACATTTACACTATACATATGAAGTTAAGGACATGAGATCCTAAAATTTAACAACAGAAGGTGCAAATACAAGTTAAGGACATTATGTCCTTAATATTTACACTGCACAGATGAAGTTAAGGACGTCGTGTCCTTAACATTTACACTGAACATATGCAGTTAAGGACATGATGTCCTAAAGTTTAACAACGGAATGTGCAAATACAAGATACTTTGTCCTTAATATTTACACAGTATTTATGAAGTTAAGGACATCATGTCCTTAATATTTACACAACACTAATAAAGTCAAGGACACTATGTCCTTAACATTTACACTGCACACATGAAGTTAAGGACATCATGTCCTTAACATTTACACTGCACACATGAAGTTAAGGACATCATGTCCTTAACATTTACACTACACATATGAAGTTAAAGACATGGGGTCCTAAAGTTTAACCACAGAAGGTGCAAATACAAGTTAAGGACATTATATCCTTAATATTTACACTGAACATTTGAAGTTAAGGACATGATGTCCTAAAGTTTAACAACAGAATATGCAAATACAAGATACTTTGTCCTTAATATTTACATAGTATTTATGAAGTTAAGGACATCATGTCCTTAATATTTACAAAACACTCATAAAGTTAAGGACATTATGTCCTTAACATTTACACTGCACACATGAAATTAAGGACACCATGTCCTCAACATTTACACTACACATATGAAGTTAAGGACATGAGATCCTAAAGTTTTACAACAGAAGGTGCAAATACAAGTTAAGGACATTATGTCCTTAATATTTATACTACACACATGAAGTTAAGGACGTCGTGTCCTTAACATTTACACTGAACATATGAAGTTAAGGACACGATGTCCTAAAGTTTAACAACGGAAGGTGCAAATACAAGACACTTTGTCCTTAATATTTATACGGTATTTATGAAGTTAAGGACATCATGTCCTTAATATTTACACAACACTCATAAAGTTAAGGATACTATGTCCTTAACATTTACACTATACATATGAAGTTAAGGACATGAGATCCTAAAGTTTAACAACAGAAGGTGCAAATACAAGTTAAGGACATTATGTCCTTAACATTTACACTGCACACATGAAGTTAAGGACGTCGTGTCCTTAACATTTACACTGAACATATGAAGTTAAGGACATGCTGTCCTAAAGTTTAACAACGGAATGTGCAAATACACGACACTTTGTCCTTAATATTTATACAGTATTTATGAAGTTAAGGACATCATGTCCTTAATATTTATACAGTATTTATGAAGTTAAGGACATCATGTCCTTAATATTTACACAATACTCATAAACTTAAGGACACTATGTCCTTAACATTTACACTGCACACATAAAATTAAGGACACCATGTCCTTAATATTTACACTACACATATGAAGTTAAGGACATCATGTCCTTAATATTTACACTACACATATGAAGTTAAGGACATGAGGTCCTAAAGTTTAACCACAGAAGGTGCAAATACAAGTTAAGGACATTATGTCCTTAACATTTACACTACACACATGAAGTTAAGGGGGTCATGTCCTTAACATTTACACTGAATATATGAAGTTAAGGACATGATGTCCTTAATACTAGCACAGGGGTATTTTTGTCCGGGCGGGTAAAAAATTATTAAGCACTGGCTAAAAAGTAAATACATTTTAAACGGTGGCTAAAGAGTAAAGACATCTCTAATTAGTGGCTAACCGTGCACTTTCCCCTCTAATATAGTTAAGTTGATTGATATACCCCATATATATATATATATATATATATATATATATATATTGTCTGAAATGCTATGTATTAATAGTACTTCCTATGTCCCAATTTATATGGCGGAGTTCAGATTTTTAGAGTCAAACCTTAAAAATTAGACCGTGAATTTAGACATAGAATCTTTAAGTTTTTTTGAAATAAAATTTATAAATTTAAAAATTACGTAAAAAGTATTATAAGTCACAATAATTAATATTTTAAAATATTTAAATGAAAAAAATAAGGTCAAAGAAAAACTCATTTAACTCTCGAAATTCGAATCCCGCCACATAAATGGGGACGGAGAGAGTATAGCTAAAAGACTGGCGAAGTCACTCTTGTTGATTAACTGAATTAGTCTTCCTTTTCACTGTTTATCATTCATATAAGTTACAAAATGAATAATTAGTTGATTAACTACAGATGATTCATTAAAATACGATTACCAACTATAGAAACTATACAAATTAATGTGAACATAGGTAGAATAATTTAAGTGTACCATTTAACAAGAAATAGTCCACCCAAATATTTAATCTTCTTGACTCTCTAATAGGGTCTTTTTATAAAAATATATATTCCTACCGTCCCAAAGAGGATGATACTTTTCGTTTTCGGATACCGCCGTAAGGAGGTATAATGTAGAAAGCCTAAGCCCGATGCAAGTGTAAGTGGTTGATTCCACGACTCGAACCCGTGACTTAAATCTCACACATAACAAACTTTACTGTTGCTTCGAGACTCGTACCATAAAAACTAACCTCACTATATGTTAAATCTGACTAGTTTAAAAAGAAAGAAAAAAAAGACTAAGTTATTAATTGTCTGCTTAACAAATATTTTACGTCATGCACCATACGTCAAAGCTTGTACGTAATTATTAACCTTTGCGACCAATAGAAACAATACAAATTAATGTGAACATAGGTAGAATAATTTGAGTGTACCATTTAACAAGAAATAGTCAACATTATCCATCCAAATATTTAATCTTCTTGACTCTCGAATAGGGTCTTTTTATAAAAATATATATATTTCTAATGTCGCAAAGAGGATGATACGTTTTCGGATACCGCTTTAATTAAGGAGGTATAATGTAGGCAGCCTAAGCCTGATGCAAGTATAAATGGCCGATTCCACGGCTCGAACCCGTGACCTAAAACTCACACATAATAAATTTTACTGTTGTTCCAAGGCTCCCATCGTAAAAGCTAACCTCACTTTCTATCTATTCAATCTGACTAGTTTAAAAAGAAAGAAAAAAAGACTAAGTTATAAACTTGAAAACCAACTACCAACCTAATTTAATTTAATCTCTAATGTAGCTGGAACTATGACTATTAAACCAATAAAACAGAAGAATCAGATGAAAGACAACGATATTCCAAGTCAAGGAAATTATAAAAGGAATATAGGACACTCCAAATTATAAGTCAGCTTTCAAAATTCAAACAGCAATGGCAATGAATATTCAAGAAAAATTTCAGAGAATAAAAAAGATAGACTTAAGTACTAATATAAAGTCATTAAGCACACAATCTTTACTCAACCAGCCTAAGTGCAATTCTTTTTATTGTTAGTTAATACCAACACAAGAAACATTCTATCTACACAAAACAATGATCATCTCCAATTCTAGGATCATATCTTTGTTCACAAATTTACAAAAACCAAACATAATGAAAAATCCTAGTCAAGCCACTATGTTCTTTTTCTCTGAGCCAGGAAAAAAAGTTACTACTAGAAATTACTCTCTCAAGGTTTTATCAAAGAATGATTCTTCCTTTCCTATATTATCCGACATAAAGAAGAAGAAAAACAAAGTTTACGACGATGAAGAAGCAAAAATAGCAGAGAAATGGAAAGATATTCATGGTCAAAACGATTGGGAAGGGATGCTTGATCCTATCGATCCTCTATTACGAGCAGAGCTAATACGTTATGGTGAGATGGCACAAGCATGTTACGATGCATTCCATTTGGATCAAGATTCTAAGTTTTGTGGTAGCTGTAAAATTGATCCTGGATTATTTTTCCAGAGTCTTGGATTGTCAGCAAATCATGGTTATAATGTAACCAGCTATATTTATTCCATGTACCATATTAATATACCAAGTTTTTTTAAAGTACCTCTTTGGCCTGATGCATGGAGTCATAAAGCAAATTGGATTGGCTATGTAGCAGTTTCAAATGATGAATATTCGACACATTTAGGGCGTCGTGACATAACAATTGCGTGGCGTGGCACAGTGACAGATCTTGAAAAGATAGCAGATTTCATGGATTTTCAAAAACCAACTAGATATCACAAGATTCCTAGTCGCGATCCAACCATAAAAGTTGAAGCAGGATTCTTGGAAATCTACACCAGCAAAGACGACGAATGCAACTTTTGCAAGGTCTCAGCAAGAGAACAGGTTTTAGCTGAAGTGAAGCGATTGATAGACAGATACTCGAATGAGGAAATAAGTATAACAATAACAGGACATAGTTTGGGAAGTGCTTTAGCTACAATAAATGCTTATGATATTGCAGAGATTGGACTAGATGTACGCGAAGATGGTCGCGTTATACCTATATGTGTCTTCTCATTCTCAGGGCCAAGAGTTGGGAACATTAGATTTAAGCAAAGGCTTGAGGGATTAGGAGTGAAGGTGTTAAGAGTAGTAAATAAACATGACAAAGTTCCAGCAGTTCCTGGGATTTTTCTAAATGAGAATGTTCCTACATTTGTTCAAAAAGTTGGTGAATTGTTCTTACCTTGGTGTTATTTGCATGTTGGAGAAGAGCTTGTTTTGGATCACAAGACTTCCCCTTTCTTGAAAGATATAGATAATCTCACATACTTCCACAATTTGGAGGTTCACCTGCATTTACTCGACGGGTTAGTATAACTTTCTTCTTATTTAAGCTCTATTTAAGTTTATTAGTTTTTCTGATATTAAAAACAAAAGTGCAGTCCGGTGCACTAAATTTCCTCTATGTGCGGGGTCCGGAGAAGGGCTGGACCACATTGGTCTATTGCACGCAACCTTACCCTGCATTTCTGCAAGAGGTTGTTTCTACGGAACTCTTTTAAATTATACTTTCACTTCCTCCCCTTGTTGGTCGCACACCGACTCTTTAGAGCAACGGTAAAGTTGTCCCCGTTATAGGTCATGGGTTTGAGTCTTGTTGGAGTCACACACCATCTCTTTAGGGATGTGATGGTCTTTTTATATGATTTTCGGCAATTCTTACCTTTTGAGCTAGCTTTTAAGGTTGAGTTAGGCTCAAGGTGCATTTTCTTATCATGTTATCAAAGCCAAGCCCATCCTAGCTCATGATTAACTCGATGTTGGACCCTCGTCTTATATTGTCACGCTCCAAATGTTCAGTCCTGGGCGTGCAGGGGATGCTGAGTCCCATATCGGCTCTTTAGATATAAGATGGTCTCTTTATATAGTCTTGGACAATCCTAGCTAGTGTTATTCCCGTCAATATTCCTGTATTTGTAAATATTAATTCTGCAAAATATAAGTTAACGTAATGAAACAATAATAATAAATTCGAGCCCACTGAATTCACAGTGTTTCCTTAAGGAATTTAATCCCCTCCTAGTACCCAAGGTAATGGATTATTTCCTCCCAGGATAGAACGAATAACACACTGGTGTAGCGGTACTTCAAACCCCAGTGTTTCGGCGAACACAAAGTTCGGTAGCAAATCACACTTACAGTTGCTTTGTTTGAAGTTAAAAAACAATGCAGAACGAAGGAGTATATACTCAGAAAAACGTATGGAAGTTCTGAGAGGAAGGAGTGCAATGTATAGCCAATTTGTTGAGCGAATTGTATGTTGAGTTGAGTATCTTTCTTCAACATTTGCTGCTCATATATATAGCAGCCAAGAAGGAGTGCAAGACCAAACGTCCACCCTTCATGGTGGAGCAAGCATTACATGTTTGTGGAGCAAGCACTTCATGTTTGTGGAGCAAGCACTTCATGGTGGGAAGACCATTATCCGGCTGCCAAATTATCAATACACGGATTGGAAAATATCCGTTTACAAATACGGATAATCTTACGTTAATATTTACTATTAACAAATAAATTTGGTCCAAAAAATTAATCAATCAATCGATTGACCAAATCCGTAGCCGTAGCCGTAGCCGTAGCCGTAGCCGAGCCGAGCGAGCGACGACGACGGCGCGAGGTTTGCTTTCTTCTTAACTCTTTAAGAGCTACAAGAAGAGCAATTATATATATACCCACCAAAAATGTCTTCCACTTCCAATATGGGACAATGTCTCATTGTTAAGAGGGGGAAACTTAAAATTTTACTCAAAATTTCATTTTCCCTCCATTTCCCATTCACCCTCATTTTAAGAATATTACATCTTAAAATAAAACCTCAACAGCTAGCTTCCAGGGTTGAGTTAGGTCCAAGCTATGTTGCGGGAGCTCTCCAAAATACTTTCGCACATGTGTCGGATCCTCCAAACTTAACCTACTTTTGGAGGATCCGACACGCACCCACTGACATTTTCGGAAAGCCTGAGCAACATAGGATCCAAGATCCATTTTCTTACGATCAACCCTTCCTTTTTCCATTGACACCTCTACAAAATTGTTGCACAAAAATTTGAATCTGATATGTTAAAGGCCTATGACTAACTACATTAATATGTTCATATATATAAGCAGATTTCATGGGGAAGGAAGAAGCATTTGGCATGGGAGCAGCAGGGAAAAAGCTTTGGTGAATAAAACAACAGACTTTTTAAAAGATGATTTCTCTGTTCCACCAAATTGGTGGGAAACAGAATACAGAAAGCTAATTGAGCAGCACAAAGGACAGTGGATGATCGATCATCAACAGAGTAGTCTCAAGAATCATTCCCCTGAAGAAGATGATCAAAACCATCACCTTTAGCAGTTTGGTTGTTCTTATCATACTTTTTGCCGAATTATTACAGATGTAATCATAAAAAATCTACTTTTTAAACTTGTGGTATAAAACAAGATATAGGTATTTGTGGTGGTTATAAATCATCTCATTCTCTGTTAGCCGGCCGCCAAAATCTCTCAGACTTAACGTTTGATCATAAGTTTTGATAGAATTAGCAACTCATATAGTATTTTCATAAAATTTTGAGTACTAAAAATTGATAATAATGTCTAAATAATAGTTGGGATAGTGATATGAAATTAAACATTAAAAAGATTCCACATAGGAATATAAATGGGGCGCGGCAGGGTAGGGTAGGTCGGGGCAAGCCATGACATGTTAGGCCTGCGTACATATTTTTTAATCATTCAAGGAACACTCATTTTTCTTGAGCCGAGGGCCTTTAGAAACAACCTCTCTATCTTCATCAGGTAGGGGTAAGATCTGTGTATATACTATCTTCCCCAGACTCCACTCGGTAAGAACAGGAAAATGCTATCTCTGCTTCAATGTAACTACATGACATTTGTTATTAGTTTCTTGTTCCATTAAAAACAAGCACAGGGGTTGCGGATAATGAGGAGAAAGAGGCTAATTGGAGAAGTTCTGTTTGAGGGGCTAGCTAAAAGTTAATCGTGTGCTATACTTACCCTATTGTTTAGATTGGAACCATCCACTGGTGCTTGTATTAGGGTAGGCTGTCTACATCTCAGCCCCTTAAGGTGCGACCCTTCTCTGGACCATGTGTGAACACGGGATGTTGTGTGGAGGCTGCCCTTTTTTTAAGATTGGAATCCTTTTTTCTTACTACTACGGAACTAGTAAATGCATGGGTAAATTCATACTTCTATGGAAAAAAATTCGGTTTTGGGAGTTGGGATCAATGAAATGTATGGAACTATGGAGTATGAAATATCAATTAGGGAAAAATGGTTTGATCCGAGACCCGAATTTGAATTTCGGGTCGGGTTTTGGAAAAGGGTCACCAAATCGCTTTTTTCGAGCTCGAATTTTGGTCCTGGGTTTGGAGCGGATATTATGTTTGTTGTGGATGGGTGTACATTAGAGAATGAGCTTAAGGACATACGAGGCGGATGCAATATTGTAGCACTTGGTTCATCTGAATTCAATATTTTTGACGTAGAATATAAATATATATGTAAAAAACTCAATAAGATTGCAAGAAATAGTGGATATGAATCCATAATTTTAAAAATATAATGAATTCAACGGCAAGAACCTTTTAAAGGTTGAACTCGTAGAGTTTAATTACCGAATCTGTCTCAACTTAGAGCGGTTAAAGATGAGATATTGCAGAAAAATGCATTGGTGAACTCCCAGACCTTGACGATTATAACCTGATGCACCTGTCTAAATCTACCAAAATGCAACCTAACAAATATAGGACAAATGAAAAATACATTTTGTATACCAAGTTTTGGCTTACTATACATAAAATTCAAATGACATTATAGTCTTAACAACAGACAGATAGGGGAAAACAACTAAACCAAAAACATCCGAGTTTACAGCAAGCATACAAAGGTAACAACCTGCTGCGACAAGAAGTTTAGTTTTCTCCTTGCAAATATCCGATGAATGAATATTTAAGCAAAAGGAGAAGCTGAATTACATTTGGAATAATAGAACCACAAACTTGTACAACAAAATACACTGATGATAAAGGTCAATGAGGCTGAGGTCTAAGGTTGCGAGAATATGTCAAAACCATCACAAAATCTTTGGCAGAACCTCCCACTTTTGCCTTTCTAATTTCTGAGCTTGGTGCTGCACGTAACCACAGCTCTACTAGTCGGTACAATGGCAATGCAGGAAGAATCGGAAGGCCTAACATGCGAATCTCCACCTGCGCACATGTAACACATCTCAAAATCCCAAGTGTCATGCATAAGCTAATAAAACAAATTTTGAAGTCACTGTAAGTATTACCTCGTCTTCGCTCTGGAGACTCAGTTTTTGTGCAAGATACTTCTTTATGTACGAAGCGGGCATATTCACATCCCTATTTAACCAGAAAAGATAACAAGTTCACGGAAGCTGGTAAGCAGGGGCGAAGCTACATGTCTTAAAGAGTGGTCAACACTGACCACCCTACGTCGGAAAATTACACTACGTATATAGGTAAAATATCAAGTTTTAGAGGTATATGACATATATTGAACACTCTTTACCGGAGAATTTATTTCACTTCTTTCAAGTTTGAAGGAAATTTCTGGCTTCGCCGCTACTGGTAAGAGCCCCTTCCGAAAAGTAAATGATGGTACAAACTAAAAACCACAAGGATTAATGGTTGTTTGGTGGTGTAATAAAGGGACTTACTTGATCTTTATGTAGCGGGAAGGAATCTGTGGCAAAGGTGAAGGACTTTCCCTGAAACAACAGGTGCAAGAACATAATCATCTTATTATAAATTACTACTACCTAAAAAAGACGAAAATGTCAAGATTAAACTCAAGAAAATCTTTTGAACGTAAGGCAGAAACTCACTGTTTATCAGATGCAACTAGAGTAAACCAAATAGGGCTGGTTCTTTCATTCTTTCTGCTGCTGCTTGTGGCCTCATTAGTAACTCGTACTTCAGGCGCATTACTTGATCCGCCACCAGAGGGAAGTGTTTCTTTTTTCTTTCTGCCACGGCGTCCCTTTTTGCCTTTTCCTGAAGTACTTGATGGTGCTGCAGCTGGAATATTAGTTGATCTAGTTTCCTCTTTTTGAACATTTGGTTTGCTAACTTTGTGTTCCTTTGTTTTAGAAGGGACGTACTCTTCATCATCTTCATCATCTTCTTCTTCGTCTTCATCTTCAAGATTGACTATTGGAGCGAAGTTTGAGGCAGGCTCTGTGGACTTGGATTTGTTGGAATTGCCTAAACTCACACCTTTAATTACCAAGGTATTTAGTGGTTCCCATAGGTCATTCATACCATCCAACGGTTCACCTTTTCTTGGAGTAGGTTTCTTTGAGATATCATTCTTTGAGGTCTCAGCTGCACTCTCCACCTTCAACAAGTGAGACAGTAGTTAGCAAAGCAACAAATGTATTCAAATAAATAAGGAAATAAAAGGTCGTCGTTTGTCTCATATTGTGGCCAGGTTGATATATCTTATGTCAATCTTCGCCTTTGGATTGACTACATGAAAGTCACACATTCAATATCATATTAGAGCACACAAACGTGCTTGATGAAAAAGAATCAACCTCACATGTGAGGGCAATCTTGACGATTCATGCATTTTCCAACTGTTTAAGCTTTTAGATGAGATGGTCATACGATTCAATTATAGGTTTTACTGTCAACAAAATATTTAGAACTTGTTACAGCAACTTGTCTGCCATGCCAAGTTCCAACCATGTTACTTTCTCCTTAAATTGTTATCAAATGTCTTTTAGAAGAGAATGAATGGACTAAAAGTTCCACATCTCAGTAGCACATATTTGGAACATTTTAGCCTGTCTAGCATCAAGTTGCTGTTTTGTTAAATTGAAAGTAAAACAACAACAACAACAACAACAACAACAACAATAAAAAACCTAGTATAATCCCACGGGTGGGGTATGAGGAGGGTAATGGGTACGCAGACCTTACCCCTACCTTGTGAAGGTAGAGAGGCTATTTCCGATCAACAAAAATAATGGGAGACTAGAGGGAAAATTACCCAATAACAGACATATGCTGATATGAGTAAAACATAAAATAGAATTCCACCAACCTGTTCTTTATTTTGAGTAGCTTTGCCTGAAAGAAGAGGAGTACTTGAACTTCCAGACTGATCTCCCTTTAACTTGTGCTCAACATTAAGATCAAATTTAATTGGATCTTGAAAACGAGGAGCATTAGCATTTCGAACGTGGCCTTTTCTTCTTCCACTCGGAACGTTCTGATTATTTGAAACTTCAGGTTTAGTACTCACTAAGGAAGAGATTGACTTCTCCTTTATCCTTGAGCTAGTAGCAGGCAATGGATTATCAATAAGCATGGCATTATTATCCTCAGCAACCTTTTTGCTTTCGCCTTTTTTGGAGTTTCCTTCAATTATTCCACGCTCAATGTATTCTTTTCTTCTATTAGAGAATATGTCGCGGATCTCTTGGACTTGGTTATCAGGCCTGTAAAGGAAGGACTAAGGTTATATCCATACATACTTTTTCACACATATATACACACTAATATACGAAGGGGGGCCTTGGCGTAACCGGTAAAGTTTCTGCCATGTGACCAGGAGGTCACGGGTTCAAGCCGTGGAAACAGCCTCTTGCAGAAATGCAGGGTAACGCTGCGTACAATCCGGCCCTTCCCTGGACCTCGCGCATAGCGGGAGCTTAGTGCACTGGGCTGCCCTTTATATACACACTAATATACGAAGGGGGGCCTTGGCGTAACCGGTAAAGTTTCTGCCATGTGACCAGGAGGTCACGGGTTCAAGCCGTGGAAACAGCCTCTTGCAGAAATGCAGGGTAACGCTGCGTACATTCCGGCCCTTCCCCGGACCTCGCGCATAGCGGGAGCTTAGTGCACTGGGCTGCCCTTTATATACACACTAATATACATATGGTTCTGTTTGACTCGCAGAACCAATGCTAAATCTGCCACTGTGACACAAGTGCTATTCTCAAGGTCATAAATCTAGTTGTTTCTCTACTGCTTCTCCCCAAAATATGGTTTCAACATGGCCTAAATCAATTATATGTTGAAAGCTGGAATAGACTTTATGACCAGACTGGCAATAGTTTTAGCATTTCACAAGTGTTTCTTTCTCTGCTTCATTTTAGAAATTTAAAGGAAAAGGGTAGCTGGTAAAATTATATTTCCTTTCTTACTGCTTTGAATATGTGTGCCATGAGCCGATTGTCTATCGTAAACAACCTCTCTATCTGCTTCAGGTAGGGTAAGGTCACCCTACCCTCCCCAGACCCCACTTATAGGAATACACTGGCCGGGTATATTGTTATTGTTGTTGGTAGCTGGTAAAATCAACCAAATGGAAAATAAAGCCAAGATCTTTTATTCAAAAAGTAGTGGCGTTTGGACCAGTTTGGGCGCTCCTTGACTATTCATCCGATACCTTCTACTTCCCACCAGCACAGGTGCCGTGAGACTACAACAAGATAAAAGAATGTACAAACTGTATCTTACACTCTTAGTGCTTCAAATTCAGTTAAATAGCAGAACTGCTACTATGCTTGAAAACTAACTCCATGCAAACTAAAACAATATCAGCAACTTTGCTCAACATTGTCAAAATCTTCAGCTCAAAACCAGATCCAAATAGCCAGTACCATTTTAGTTTATTACAATGCATGTTATATTAACCCAAGAACTGAAGTTCAACCTTAGTATTAATCATTCAATTACGTCTAGTAATTTTTTTTTATGTACCTATAAAGGGCAGCCCGGTGCACTAAGCTGCTATGCGTGGGGTCCGGATCTATTGTACGCAACATTAACTTGCATTTTTATGTAAATATATAACCTTATAATCAATAGTATATGACTTTAAGGCTTAAATACCTGATTTTCTGCAATGGAGCACAGCCTAAATCCAAGTTGCATACTGGACAAATATGCGATTTCTCTTCTGTTATCTTCTTTGTTATGCACTTCTTGCAAACTGTTAAGATTAAAGATTAATTAATCAGATATCAAAAAAGAAATTAATCAGATATCAGAAAACTTCATAAAACCATGCAGCTTTTGCTAGAATATTTAGATTTAAGCCAAAGAGCTAGTGATAACTCCAACTCCTTTGATAGCTATAGTAAATAAAATCCAAAAATAAGACATAAAAATAATCTAATCCAGTGTTTCTCGACTAGGGCCAAATGCAACAAACTGATCATACAAGAAAAAGAAAAATTAAAAGAAAATTAAAGACTTAATTAATCAGTAATCATGATATGTGCTAGATTAAAAGTCCATGCAATGACCTAGATCACATAAACTTTGAAAATGACACAAACTCTAATGAAAAACATTTGAAAGAACGTAAAAAAAAGATTGAGAAAAATCAAGATCTTGAAATCCAAAAGAATTAAATTAAAATTAATTAAAAAAAGGCAAAGATTTTCTCACATCTGTGACAGCATTCTTCAATTATGGTGACTTTTTTGCATAGTTTTTTGCAAATTCCGCATGTCAAAACACTCTTAATACTTGCTTGCCGTGTAGCAAAATCCATGTTAATTCCTTCATAAACTGCAAAAAATAAAAAAAGAAACCAAATCAGTCTTTTCCTTATAAACTAATGCATATATACATACAGCGGCGAAGCCACATGCAATCAAGGAAATTTAATTTTAATCCCTTCGCCGAAAAGTTACACCGCATAAATAGGGTAAAAGTAATCTTTTTTTAAACATATGTATGGAATTTTGAATCCCGTTAATATAAAAGCAAGCTTAAATCCTCAGTGTGACATTTTAAAATTTTTTAATCCCCTTAGAGAAAATCCTGATTCTGTTGTTCTATACATACACCTTGCAACCTTTGCATGTAATGCACCCTTAAAAAATCAACTCAAGAAAATCATGTAAAGAGAAAAAGAAAATGCATTAGTAGTACCTCTTTTTCTTGATTTTTTGCAGAGTGAAATGGTTATGTGTGTAAAGAAAAAGGGATATATAGAAAAAGGGAAGCGGCGGGTTTGGGGAAGAAGTAAATTGAAGTTAAGGTTGGGTTTTGGATTATTGGAATAATATGAGAAAAGGGTTTTGGATTAGAAATAATAATATGGACAAAAATTAGTTGGTTTGTATAAATGATAATATTCTTACTCAACTATCTCTTCCATGGCTTAACACCATGAATATGATACCAGCAGCTTCAGCCACCTTAAGTGAAAAAAACCCATGTATTCTATGGGCTTTTCTTATTTTTATTTTTCCATCTTTTTTTTATAATGAAAATTTGGATATCCATAAAAATGTCCGTCCGGTGCACTAAGCTCCCATTATGTGTGGGGTTCGGAGAAGGGCCGGACCACAAGGGTCTATCGTACGCAACCTTAGCCTCTATTTCCCACAAGAGTCTATCGTACGCAACCTTAGCCTCTATTTCTGCAAGAAGTTATTTCCACTTTTCACGGCTCGAACCCGTGACCTCCTGATCACATGACAACAACTTTGTATATCCATGCTGTCAAAAAACAAAAATCCAAAATGTCCATTACAAAATAATACTTACACTTCATAAATGTTTAAAAACAATAAGTAAATGCCCAGTAGGTATATACGTTGCACGTTTACATTTAGGGTATAGGCATTCAAAAAAAATAATTCCAAAATGTCTTTTTCAAAAAAAATATTACGCTTCATATCCGTTTTAAAAAAAATGCGTAATACCTAGCAGGTATACACGTTGTACGATATACATTCAGGGTATAAGCGGTCAAAAATATTATTCCAAAATGTCCATTCAAAAAAATATTATACTTCATATATATATATATTTTTTTAAAATACGTAAGTACCTAGCAGGTATATACATTTTACGTGTATATTAAGGGTATTAGCTGTCAAAACAATTATCCCAAAATGGCGATTTCAAAAATAAAAAAAATTCCATTTCGTATCCGTTTAAAAAATACAATAATACTCAGCAGGTATATGCGTTGTACATATACATTCAGTGGTCGTTTGGTAGCTAGTTAGGAGAAAAGTTATTCATGTATAGGGACAACATAACTTATGCAATGTTTGGTAACCATTAGTCATTTTGTATAAAATTCAGCATAACTAATACCATATTTGGTTGTCATTTTACAATTCTACATAAATAATACATGTATAAGTTATGAGTCAATCTATGTATTATTTTATACAGAGTAGAAGATGAAATAACTAATACAAGTAGTAGTAATACATGAATAAAATATTGAAATGATAAATTTACTCCTATCATTTTACACATAAAGGCTTCCTTCTATATATTGATTTGTATCAAACCCTTTGGAGAATAAGTATGGAGATACTAATGCTTCACTGCTAGGCTCTTCTTCTTATCCATCTATTAGAGCCAAAATCAGTAAATAAGTATTTTACTTTAAAATTTATATAACGTATATCAATTTCTAATATAACAAATCAAATATTCAAAAAAAAAAGAAGAAATCATTGCGTAACTAATTCATGTATAACTAATACCTACATAACTCTATCCGACAACCATACGACCCCTCAGGGTATAAGCGGTCAAAAACATTATTCCAAAATGTCCATTTCAAAAAAATATTGCACTTCATATCTGTTTTAAAAAGGTACGTAAATACCCAGAACGTATACCTTCAGTGTATAAGCGATCAAAATAAATTATTCCAAAAGTCCATTTAAACTTTGTAACGGTAGATTCAGGCAATTTACTTGCAATTTGATTATTCCGCCGAATAACACCAGTCAACACGTATTTTGTGTAACTCTCTACTCATAAAGTTTACCCTTCTTGTATTTATTCTCTTGTGATTTAATTAAATACGAGGATTTAGGAATGTTTAAAGGTGAAAAATTGTACATCCTCAACCGTTATACGATCTATAAAGGTAAAAGTATCCTTTTAAATCGATTTCTTATTTTCAATCTTAAAACTTTCTTGAAAGAGCGGACAGAGGTAGTCTAAACCTTACTAATATGGAATTTTCGTGTAAATGGTTAGATGATCAACTGTAAACAGCAATTGTTTTAGTAAAATTTATAGCTGTGAAAATATTGCTAAAAATTTACTCGCATCTGGTGATACATATGCATCAATCAAAACTAGCTAGATCATGGCAATCAAGTCATTAGATAACAGAATTTATTAATATTAATATTGAGCATGAAATGAAACAAATATTACAGAATTTATTGCATATATCAACCAATCACGAGTTTCCATGTCAGCGCTATTTTGTGTCATTAACATCATAATAATTGGCTAGAGTGAACAATTTTCATACTTCAGTTAACCATTCGAAACAAAACTAATATCATACATTAAAAATCAAGGAACTCGAATGTGAAATTTCAAAGTTTCATCCTAAACATCATTCTTCTTTATATTTACTCCCCCCTCCCCCCCAAAAAAAAAAATCACCACATTCGCGAGAAAAATATACTGTGTAGCTAGTATATGTATATATATTATGTATTGACTCCCCTTAATTTCCTGATATATTTACTTTTATATATTTTGACACCCCTTAATAAAAATTCTGGCTCCGCCACCGATTAGTGGCACCTCTACGCCGCCAGCAAAAGGGATTATATTTTAATTAAAGATAAGGATTTAAACACGTGATTAAAGGTGAAAAAGACTACACGTTCAACCGTTACTATTTATGAAATATCCATTTTAAATAGATCTTTTTTTCTTTTTCCTTTTTTTTGTTGCTTTTTTTCTTTATACTATACCTTGGAAGAGAGCTAATCGAGGGTTTTGGTTTAGAAATATATGGACCAAAGTAGCATTGAAAAGGAGGAGCATTAGAATTATTTCACGAGCAATTTTTCTTCCACTCGAAACGTTCTGATGATTTGAAACTTTAGGTCTAGTACTTACTTAATTAGTAAGAATACTTTTGACTTCTATTTTCTCCTTGAACTAGTAGGCAATGGATTATTAATAATCACGCCACTTTGATCCTTAATTTTTGCCTTCACCTTTTTTGGAGTGTAACAGTGATGTCTGGTGCAATTTGCGTGCACACTTCTGTTTGACAAAAAAAAAAATATAACTTTCGGTTAAAATTATTATATTTATAATGTAATGATGGGTTAAACTTAGTTAATGATAATATCTCAAAATGCGGATCCTGAAAGTGTGGATAATGTGGAACAGATCTAGTGGGAGATTGACAATAACATGCATTAAATATTCCAAAAAGTATGAGCAATAATGGAGGAATAACTAGCAATAAATGAGTTTTAAGTAAATAGGAGGACTGATTCACCCTATAAAAAGTGAACTAGATGATAGTTCTTCTTGACAATGATGAATGACAGATAAATCCTAGAATGTTCGAATTATTCTCGGATCTGATGAAAAAGTATGAAATAATAGGGACAAGAATCTTGATGAAAAAGTAATGTTTGTATCTTTGTTAGAGAGCGAGAAATATGTTCTTATCTCGTGAATATTAAATATCCCTTTTCCTCGTCTTTTGTCCTCTTTATATGGGACATATCCCTAGTAAACCCTTATAATACATGCGCAGAGAATATTCTTTAGAATATTTTCTCTATTATTTTATTCTAAAAACTAGTCGTTACAACTTTTTTCACGGATCTCGTACTCGACCATTGTAAGCGTCCCGATCCCAAACTTCGCCATTTTCTAATTGACCTTGACTGATTCTGCCCTCAATACTTCCTTGCCCTAAATGTTCCGTCGGTAGATTTCCACCCATACAACTTCAAATATTCTACCAACTAGCACCTATTACGTTATATCAGCACACATGTATTGGCCGGGTAACTCTAACCACGGGGTTTACCCTTCTTCCAATTTGTTCTATTGTGTTTTAATTAAAGCCAAGAATTTGATGCAGAACACGTGTTTAAAGGTGAAGAAGACTATACCCTCAACCATTATGAATTATAAAATATCCTCTTAAATAGATATTTAATTTAGTTATCAGATTATATTGCCAAGATCATAAAATAAATTAATAGCAGAATTTATTAATGCATGTATCAGCCAATCGCGTATTTCCAATATTGGCTAGAATGACCAAACTTGTCAAATATATACGAGTTTTTTACCAAAGCTAATGTCATTTTGTAAACTATCACGGGACTTGCGCGTGAAAGTTTTCTTTAAATCAATAACATATTTCTCTACCTTGTAGACCTTGTAGGGTTATGTCACCCCTCCACCACTAATTATGAATTGTCATATAATCGAGTCATAAAATATCTATGTTTTGGATTATGTAATTAACATTGAGCATGGAAAAGAACTAATAAAATATGGACTAGGTGCAGTTTGCGTGCGCATTTCAACTATTTTATCAAATACCTATTAAGTTTCATAAATACATGTATTGGGTGACATTAAACATGTGATGTCATGATCCAAAATCTCATCATAGGCGTCGTGATGACACCTAGTCTCTAAGACTAGGTAAGCCAATTTCAATTACATTTTTGAAGTCATTTTTTTTAAATTAAATAAGTAATCAAAACTAACAGCGGAACAAATATGAATATACAACCTCCCAAAACCGGTAGTACTGAGTCACGAACTCTAACTGAATACATGAAATGATCTTAAGGATCGAATACCCAATACTGTTTGAATAATAAATAACAGTACAATAAAATGAAAAGGTTTCAAGGAACTGCGATGACCATGCAGCTCTGCCTTGAATCCTTGCGATCCCACTCTAACTCTGTCCGAGTCTGATATCTCCAATACCTGGCTCTGCATAAAAATGTGCAAAAGTGTAGTATGAGTACACCACGGTCGGTACCCAGTAAATATCAAGACTAACCTCAGTGAAGTAGAGATGAGGTACAGTCAAGACACTCACTAGTCAAATAACATATGCAATATGACAGTATACAATAGTACTGGAAAGCAACTAGCAATGATAACAACAAACTCAACCAGTGAAATAACAACAAGGCAACAAGAGCATCATAATTATTGCTCAGACGAATAAGGAAACACAAATACAACCAATTAATCAAGTCTTTCAAATATAAATTCTTTCGTTTATATGTTTTTCAAATAAAAATCCTCAGGTTATAATACTTTCCAATAAATATATTTTCAAGTAAAAGTCATCATGTGACAC